GGGGGGGTTGCTGTAGCCAGTGGTTCTATTCTGTTAGTCTACTATTATCTATACAACTGCAAAACATCGCCAAGCAGTTTCGTTTATACTTGATGTATACATTTCAAACTATAAACAAAATGACAATATGAATTTAGATATATTTTCACTGGAATATAAAATTCAGCAAAACAGATTAAAAAATGTCTAACTTCCCTCATCGTCGGATACCCACGGTTGATTTCGCTTCGGTTCTCACTCGTCACGTGATGAGCGAGTACCGAAGCGAAATCAATCGTGGGTATCCGACGATGAACTTCCCTCGGCATAAAGTCAATTCATTGTCTGTAAATTGTGACATCATGGCGATATAAGATAGATTTATCAAGTACATGGCTCTCTATCACGGGGGAAAACTTAAGCTTTCATCGCTAGATTTTTAAGGAAAATATAATGAGGAATCTAAAAAGGCGTTTTAGGATGGAAAGTTTACAACTCACCTTTAAGAGTTCTTCAACATTGTCGAAATTCTGAAATGGAAGTACACCAAAATTATTATTTAAAGATTAATCTGTATGCCAAACGTTAAGAGCCCTAGCCCCACAATCATGAGACAGTCTTAGACTTAAGGACTCACCTACCATTGCTACAAACTCTAACAACCCTTACGGGACGTAACAAAAATAAGATAACATTGTAATAACATGCTTGAAATGAAATAAAAGAAAGTTTAAACTAACCATGCACTTAAGATTATTGTATTTCCGCTTTAACCGACTCAGCTACCTGGTCAATGGGGGTATCCTGACCACACTGTCCTACAGTTATTATATCCAAAGCGAATTTAACAGGAGGTTACTTACCTTAGGCCACTATTTCAAATGTTTATGAAAAAAACGTAGAAATCAAAATAAAACAGCAATTAAATTTCGGGGGCAGATGTATATATACAAACATGCAAATAGTTTAGAACCATAATAACAGATGAGTAACAACATGTGTCAATATAAGTAATAACATGTCTTTCAAAAGTAAAATGATCCCAGAACTGGCAAATAGGGCACGCCTGATTTTAAAGCTGATGATAATTACATACATATGTGTACAACTGTTTTGTACCGCCAAAACACCAAGTAGAATCATTGTGGGCGTAGTTGACTCTGAACAGAGTACCCCCTGGTAGTGATAACGCACCAGGAACAGGTGATGTTTGGTTACTTCCGTGTATATAAACATTTCTTCACTTATCTGTTACAGATGATAAACTGTCTGTCATGTAGTATTACCTTTATATAATAAAACTCGTTGATCCGGAGACATCCGCCTCAGTTCGTCGTCGTTCGTAATCCGTTAAAAAGTAAACATTTTCTTATTATTATTCTGCACTACTCAACGGAATGACATGTTCCGACCATTTTCATTTTTTTTATTTTTTTTTTGCTTTTTTTTTGTGCAAATCCAAAAATCACGATGACCAGAATGGCCTCTGATTGGCAAAAATATTCTCGGCTTCTTCAGAGTGACGGGTGCGACCGGACTCCATAGTCCGTACATTTGTACAAATGTTCTGTATAGAGTTTTTACCAGGTGTTCTTACTTTATGTGCTGACCAAGATAGGTACCCTGGCCTTCGACTGGCCCGTATTTTCTATTTCTTACCATAAACCGTTGCAGCGACTGACTGGAAACTTAGTAGTACAATACTATTGCTTGAGGTCCCGACAAACTATTATTCTTTGAACACATTCATCTTTTGATTGGAATCTGCTCTTTTCTCCGCCTTTTTAGTACGTACCTCGGGTTGTGGAGTGTTGAGGGGGAAGTTCATCGTGATCCCCTTTCCCTGTTTCTGGACTATCAAGTCTCCACTCAGCGTCTCAAACGTTACACATGACGACGGGTTGTCTACAAGTCAACATGCTGAGTTTAAAATAACATTGGACTTTGTATATTTTACAATGTCTGTGTTTCTGGTAACGCTATATATAATGACTAGTGTTATCACAACTGTTATCATTATACGTAAACCATACAACAGTAAATTGTGTTGGATTGGGTTTGTCGAATGATTTTAAAGTAAATCGCCGCGTTTCAGTCTCCAGGTTCCCCCGTCATATTCTTAATTCCTTACTGCTGTGTTAGTGTTCTATTTTGGTATATTTAAGGAAACATAATGATTGCTTGCCCTTGTAATGTTGCTCTTCCCTCATTCTTCGCCCTTGGGGAACATGACACGCCTTTGGTGAACAAAAATGCATCTCTCCCCAAAACAGGAGTAAGTAATGTATAGTGTGATCCAGTGACACTAACGGTTGAGTAACAGATGGACTGTAGCAAGAGAAAGATAAATGCAACAGCCAGACCAGAGTTCGAACCCAGGACCCTCTGAACTCTAGACGGATCCCATCGGGCGCTTTAACAATTCAGTTTTCTGGTCGCCGACGATCGACCCAGTCCAGTTCCCCTACATCATTATACATACTAAAATTTTATCAACTGACCTACTGTTAAAAAACATTAAAAATGGTGACATTGATACTCACCGCAGACAAAGAAGAGGACAGCAGCGGAAGCCATGGTCGCGTGACCGCATAAAGGCACCTCATTGGTCGGCGTGAACCATCTCAAACTAAACCTGTCCCCTTGACAACAGACAGGAAAAACAAAATAGAGGGAATGCACTACTTTTACCACAGGTAATAGCCTCGTCTGTCAATGAACCCATTGTATAACCAAGGTTGCTAACTCCCTCCCCCTGATGAAATTACCTCGTTCCAGAAAACATGCGATTTTGTCATAACCGTTTATAATATCACGCCGGGAGCTACCTAGATCGACAGGAAAGTGTTTGTTTTTCTTTAACTTTACCATATAACATGCGGTATCATTTTCGGTAAAAGGATGGCATAAAATAACGACAAAAGCTTACATTTAGAAAATTGACATTCGACAGATGAAAAACATTTTTACTTTAAAATAATATACCCGAAATAACTTAAGACTTTAAAAGGAAAAGAATCATTAAAGAACAACGTTCTGAAAATACATTAAAGTCCATACAAACCTTGCGTGAAGTCACAGTTCTTACTGCCAACTCCCTGAATGTAAGCTGTTTCCGACAGATTCATCTCGGCTGCTATCCTCTGCATCTCTTCGTCCGACAGTTTCTGTTTAAGTTCAGTTCAATTAAATAAAATTAAATAAAACTTGAGCAGAATTGATATGGAAATCATTATACGTTATTAAGCCATGATTCTGTCTTCTCTAATCTTTTTCATATCGCCATCCTTAACACAAGAAAGTAAACTTATCTATAACGTACAGTACCTACAGCGAAACCTGTCTAATCTGACATCTGCGTATTCTGAAATCCTGTCATAACTGTGATACGGAATGTTACCCTATACCAGATTATACTAGACGAAATTCATTTTCCGACACCCTATAAACCAGATGAATTTGTTCGCGATCCAAAGGAAGTCGGGTTAGGCAGGTTTCACTGTACAATAACAAGTACATATGTTATGAAATAATCTTGTTATTTTATTTCGTGTTTTATGTCAAAAACACGCTTATCTTCAACTACTTTGAATTAATATTATGATGAGTTTTTACCTAGAAGCTAAATTGTGACATTTTCATAATATATTAAATCTGTTAAAATTAGATATTTCAAGATAGTGACTGGTACATATGAATTCTTCTATGGTTAAGAATTTTAAAATATAAACAAAACTCATTTGAATTTCCTCTTAAAACATATATCGCAGTAACAGTTTCTTTGCTTGTGTAATCAAGAAACTAATAAAGCCAATGAAAAATGTGTTATTATTAATTTAAATCACATCTCTCCCCTTACTAGAACCGACTGGGTCAAGCCAACATGCGGTGTAATTCCGTGTTTCCGTTCCGTTTTCCGTTACCCAAGTTAGTATCACCATCTCTAAGTAACAGAGCTAGGCCCACATATAAGTATGTTTTAAACCAGTACTTGCTTGTTTTAACAGACATATGGCTGCGGGATTGCCATGGAATGGTTTGTCTGTAAATGCATCCACGATGTACAGAGGAACAGTTGTCCCTAACGCTGACATTTTGTTTCTTCTTGATCAAACACACACGCCGGGCGATAAGTAATTTTCGATCCAATATTATCAGTGCCTAAAATCCGGAAAATTATGTTATGGAATATGTTTTGCACATTGAAAATTAGTTTATTTTGTTTCTTTAATTTTTAGAATTGACCTGTTTCTGCCGGAATATTTTTATCATACAGTCAGGAGAGGATTCTAACAAAACCTAATCTTATTTAGGTGCATGTATCGAGCAACCAGCACGGTTACACAGTCAAGTGAGGTCATATTGTTATCGATTACATTCACCTGATATTATGGTAGTTTGACAAGAGTACTGAAACAGTTGTGCTCCAACTAAAATATTTTTTTTGATGCGAGTTTCACAAATGAAAAATCTAATCAAAGACGTATGAATTAGTATTTGTCTCGGGGTTCACAAAAAAACCCGTTTCAGATGTTTAAAAAAAGCAATTAAAGAAACTTTCAGCAGCTGGCGTTTTAAACTGATTATTTACAAAGAATTTCAGACACCACTATCCGGATATACATAAAACTCTGACAATATATGTCGCATGAAAAAGTCAACCGTATATAAAATGAATTGTGTAATTATGGGCATTCGAGGAGTGTACTACATCTGCGGGCTATGATACCCTTTTTATAAAGGTTAGTTTTCAGCAGGTAACAGGTCGATTTTACCATGATGTATATATATGTCATCTTGTAATCTCTTATTGTTAAATTCTATTGGGAAATTGGGAAAGGGCTTTATATAAGTTAGAAAACTTGTGCCCAATCCCAATGAATATTTTTATGCAAATAAAATATGTTTAAATCAAATTTTACCAGTAGAATATTTTGCCAGTAACGCCTTACGTAACAGTATTGATTACGTTCGGACTCTCTCTCTTACTTTATCTCTAATACCCTTTACTCATTGTAGTTGGAAAAACTGAGATTACTGCATACAAGAAAATTGCCTTTATTCGAACTCCGTAGTTTATCATTACAGCGAACATAAGGAAACAACATAATAATACATAATTATAAAATATGAAGGGCGAAATAAAAACTTGGCGAATATGGATTTTACCGGCGAAGGGCGGAAGTTTGACAGTTCGAAATTTCCCGGCATACATTATTCAGTGCGAAAACACTTTCATGAATTTGTTGTAAACCTCTATAATGACATATACACAGTCACCTATCTATAATAATCACTAGAAATACCAAGTGAGGATGCACATATTTTTTAGGATTAAATTTTACTTCTTAAAAACACTCTTTACATAAAACAACACTTGTTCTCTATTTTAATCCATTGTTAACAATATGGTACCAAATTTTCTTATTGACTTGTTGCCAGATTATGTTGGAAAATATAGTCCCATATAATTTACGAGTAGCTCACCTGCTGAGAGAACAACAGTTTCGTTTACATTTATCACAAAACTCTTTCTTTCCTTCAGCAACAAATCTTTGGAACAACCTAATAACGATATTAGAATGCACCCTCATGAAATTCGCTCAAGTCAAATGTTAAAAAGTTCTTGTTGGTGAACAGTAATTCAAGTAAGAAATTTATTAATTATGGATCTAGGAAATTAAGTATTCTTCACTGTCGTCTAAGAAACCGAGCAAGCCCACTTAATAAGGATATTTTTATAGCCGACCTAATAGATTCAGCAGAGAGTCGATGTGGGCATCCCTGTGAAGATTCTTATCATTTTTTACTTTTTTGTCCCCTATATCTGAACTTACGTAGACTATTATATACAGATTTAACATGGTATGATGGTGTTATTGATGTAAACTTCCTCTGTAATAGTGACGCTAGTGTTTCTTCAGATGATAATAAAAAAAAGGCCAAATCAGTACAAAAGTGAGTTACATCAATTTGTTTGTTTGTCGATGTAGATTATCTTTCATGCCATCACGTGACCTCAGTTGTAAATATGTAATGTATGTTATTTGGAGAAGTCATCTATAAGTTGGAAAAACTTACTGACTAATCCTATTGTCATATTATATGTCAATAAAATATGTTTAAACTAACACTTGTATTAAAAAATGCAAGTATTTCTAAGATACTGTAATAATATTCTACACAATGAAATACAGCAACAATTTTAGGAACATGTTTTTTTTTGGTAGCGAAATCAAGGTAATTACCGACACTGTCCATATGTTTATACAATTTCGATAGGAAATTACACAGAGCAAATTAGAAAATTTAATTGTTATATCACTTTAGTATACCCTAACCCGTACAAAAATAGTTTGAGTACCGAAAATATGCATGGATGAAAATAAAATTACTTTTAACTTTCCTGATAATTTCCGTCTGGCTTCAGTACCAACGCCCCTTATCTCCTTATAACGATACCCCGCTTGTGAGTCTATACACACTGTATTTATTATTAAGTTAACAGATAGCCAAAGTTTAAAACTATTTCCAAACGTTTTCTGTGGCTATTTGTTAACTGAATAGTAAATGTAGTGTGTAAATATTGTGAAAGGAAATACGAAAGACAGATTGAAAGCACTGCGCTCTACAGCCGTAGCTTTACCTAATGGGTTACAAGGGCCATCTACAAAACAAAAAATATCTGCTGATACCACTGCAGTAGCCATACATCGACGTCACAACCTTTCGGATATTAGAAAATTAGTGACTAGTGTAGGCTAGCTCATAGAAAAAATTTAGAAAATCCTCTATTAGATTAGAAGATTAGTTTAAAATTATAAAAAGACCTAATAATTATAAAGCAAAATAATGATCAGTTACTAAGTTTATGTTAAAATAAGATTTGAGTTAGTTACTGCACAGCACAAACACTTTTAAAAAGGGGAAAAAACATATTTAGGAGACATTTAACACGACCTTAGGCGGCCCCATACACCAGGCCAATGCAATCGATAAATAGTCTATCATGTCTGTGGTGTGTTGGTTACTAAAAATAGCTCGGAACAGATCACAACAAGGACGCAGTATTGATGTGTGTGCTTCCTGAAAGTGCTGGTAACGTATGTTACAATGTTTCTGTTTATTTTCCTGACACTCTCTGTCCTAGCGTGCACATGTGTTGCTAACGACGAGGTAACACACCCTGCCATAAAAACATTGCTTGTCCAATCGAATGTATTTTCTCGATTCGCTAATGTTTACATAACAAGCAAGATTGAAAACGACGTAAACGAAAGCAGGACAGCAATGTTCTCCATCCAGGTTCCCACAGAAGCTTTTATTACGGGTTTCTCGATGCAAAATGAAGACCGTATTCTCCATGGTGTAGTGACAGAGAAGAAAAAGGCGGACGAGGCTTTCAATGCAGCCCGAAAAGATGGGCAGACGGCTGGTAGGGTGTCGGAGGCCGCTCCAACCCCGGGACGCGCAATGAAAAATTTCGTCGTGTATATGAACGTGGCAGCAATGTCTGAAGCTACTTTCAAACTTTCATATCAAGAACTTGTCAAGAAGGTTTTGGGAAAATATACCCAAAAAATACACATAGAACCCAATCAAATTGTGGACAATATCACAGTCATTGCTTCGTATCATGAGCCCCAGGGTATTGAAATGTTTTCATACGCTCTACCAGATTCGAGAGTGTTCTCGTCAAGTTCGATTGACTCGCAAAGTACCGTTGTACATGCGTCTGAAAGTATAAGAGAACTCGTTTACACTCCTTCGACAGTGACACAGCAAGATTTCGGTGATGCAGGCAACGGGTTGAAAGGTGATATTACACTGAGGTATACTTTGACTCCTCCGGTAACCAACGGAGGGACAATCATTGTCAACGATGGCGCGTTTGTCCACTATTTCTCGCCGTCCGGTTTGTCGACTCTAAGCAAAACAATTGTATTTGTCATCGATGTCAGTGGTTCCATGAGCGGAGACAAAATTAAACAAGTGAAAGTAGCAATGCACTCGATATTGATACGACTAAGAGAAAATGATTCTTTTAATATCATTGTATTCAATGCTGATGTACATCGGTGGCAACCGGGTCCAGTGATGGTAACCAGTGAACGTATTTCCGCTGCCAAGTCATATGTTGATAGGATGAAAGCAGAAGGAGGCACCAACATCAATGACGCGTTGATCTCCGGAGTTTATAACATCAACAACGCTTTGAGAAATCGAGGGAACCTGGTTGTATTCCTCACGGATGGTGTTCAGACTGCGGGTGAACAGCGCCCAGACGTCATACTCGAAAACGTCCAAGGAGCAAACCATGACGGGTTAGTTTCAATTTTCTCTCTGGGTTTTGGGGTTGGAGTGAATTTTGAGTTTCTGAGAAAAATATCACTTCGAAATTATGGAACTGCTTATAAAATATACGAGGACAAAGATGCAAGTAAACAACTGGGTGACTTTTTTAGAGAAATAGAATCTGTCACACTAAGGGATGTCAAGTTTCAATACCCCGTTGAAATTGTAGTAAAAGAAGACCTAACCGAAACAAGCTTTTCCAATTTCTTCAACGGTTCTGAAATTGTCGTAGCTGGAAACCTTCAACCTGAAGTGGACCTCCTAACGAATCCTTTGACTGCGTCAATCCTCGCTGTTGGTGCGAACAGAGACGTCATCTTCAGTTCTACGGCCGAACTTGAGAGCACAGGAGAAACACAACAGTTTACTCAGAGGCTTTGGGCTTATAAGAAGATAAAGGAATATCTGGATCGGGCCTTGATATCGAACGAAGAGGACAGAGAAAGGTATGAACAGAAAGCATTGACATTGTCACTGAGATACAGCTTTGTGACGCGTCTGACGTCAATGGTCGTCACGGAGGCGGTCAATGCTGGAAATACAGGTTTCGGACAACTAAATAGGGTCGGTTTGTCTGCAATGAAAGCCAACTACGGTTCAAATAACTACGGTACAAATAAAGGCACATGCGCCTCACTGACTACTACGTGTGCCGTGGTCATGTTTCTGGTACATTTCGTTCGACTTCATTTGTGTTGATATATTTTTCTCGGACGTAGTATTTGGAGGAATCTGTTTGACACATACTCACCAGGTTCCATTTTTACAATCCTCAAAATTCAAAGAGTTCACTATACCACTGGAACATGCCATGACAACATCAAAGGCACGCGGTAAGCTATTTGATTGGTTTCAGGGGGAAAACACCTCATCAATCGCTAGGCTGACACATGTCCTTTGAAGATTACAGATGAGCGACACCTGACTCTAAAGCAAGTCAGTTTTATTGTTTCGTTAACGTGCGATGTACATCAAAGGATCAAACTTGTCTGTTTTTGGCACCCTCATGGTAGCGCGTACAAAGCCTTCGATTTCTGCATTACAAATCCAGGGGTCAAGAAAAAAGATTTCGAGGATGCAGTTTCATCAATGTTTCCTGACGGAAGGAAATCACCCAACTTTAATTATTCCATTGGAAGGCGTCGTTGGTGTTAAAGGAATTTCCTCACCTGACTTTGTTTTAATCTAGCAATGTTTAAAATGGAGAAGAAAAAAAATCAGAAACATTCGTGAAACTGTAGAAGACTGATTTGAATATTATACAAATTTCAAGTTAAGAAGAGAACTGTTCAATAAGACATTATTTTGTACTTTGCAATACAATCATAATTGGTCGTCGTCTTCTTCGGTAATATATGGGTCTCTATGTATGCACTTCAATAAATGTAGTGAGTGGAATAAGGGGGTTGGTAGCTAAAGATGACACTTGGTGTTTACAGGTAAGAAGACAAGTTTATTACATTTCTTGTTTTTTCACTTTGTGTCTATTCTCAAAATTTGCATATTGCATAAAACAGGCCAATTAAAACCGACAAGATGTAGTATGATGTTTGGTCAACGACATAAACTGGTTTTATTGTGTTGTACAAAATCAAAAACATACCTTTATTTTTATGTTTATTGAATATTATAAATCACATTTGACCAAACAACCCAAGATTCTAACTATTTGGTTAGTTTTAAAATATTTTAAAGAAGAAATCTTATTTATTTATACCACATGTCTTGTTGAACTTATATAGCTTTTTTCATTGTTTCTCATGTTCTTTGCACTGCTGGAATATGTCAGGCTCAGTGTGCACCACCTAGTTTGATCCTTTGATGTACACCAAAAGAATCTGTCGGTCGCATAACTGTAAAATTGACAGGCTTTGAAGTCGGGTGTTGCTCCTCTGTAATCTTCAAAGGACAGGTATCAGCCTTGGCGATTGGTCAGGTTTTCTTTTATCCTGACACCAATCAAATAGCTAGCCGCGTGCCCTCAATTTTACTTTGACATATTCCAGGGGTGGAGAGAACGAATTTGAGCGTAACGATTGGAGTAACAAGTATGTGGTACAGCTGATGTTCCATTTTCAGGTTTTACGATAACAATTGAATTGTGTGCAATGTTATGTGATACACTTGAATTGGAGCGCGTATAGTAAGGATTTACCAAATATATTTTATCCAACTTTTTATTCAGTATTTATGCTTCTCTTCATTTGGATACGTAACGTTGATATATTTTAAGATGTAGATGTGTAGTACTTTTATGTTATTTTAAAATATTTCTGCATATTTTTTGTTATTATATTACGTGGTATGAAAATGTCCGTGAGATCTTTATGAAATTCGTCAGACATGATATTTTTTAAGTCAGTTCATCATAACTTGGGTCAAGAAAAGCGTGTACTCTAGATTTCATAAGTACATTGTATCAAATGATATGATGCTGTTTTTATGATATCTACGGATTAAGATATGAACAATTGTATGTAGTTACAAAGACATCTTATCACAGCAGGCGTTGGGTTACTAAGTTTACAGGTATGCCTTATTCACATAGGTTGTACATTTATCAACCTATGCATTATCTATAAAAGAATATATCTAATGATAAATCCTTGATGCTTCGTGAAACTGAAGCACTTGATGTCATAATTTGCGCTTCATTAGAAAAACTTAGTAACAAACATTTGCTTTCCGTTTAGGAGAGTTTAGAAGTATATTCCTATGATTATTGTGTTATTTTGTTATTGAAAAATGACAAGAATGTTCGATTAAAGGTAAATGATTACATTCCAAATCATGTTTCTAAAGTGGGACATCTCTGTATGACAAATGTAACAGTTGTGAAGCGTATAAAAATGTTATATACCTTACGCTTTTAATCGATATATTATTTTGCAAATGTAAGTCATCTATCTGTAGGTGATACATTTTAAGTGGGCGTGGTGCAGTGATATGTAGTGGGCGTTGTCGGGTGCGGTCCGATACAGTCCGGTTATTTTTATGTTGTATGTTTAAGGTATTTTTCCGCATCGCATTTGCTTTTAGGGTATCACATTTAAAAAGATAAACGAGTTTATGAACATAACATGGCGCCTGACAATCTCAAACAATACATCATACTTCCGCCATTATTTAGTTAAGAAATCCGGGAACTAATTCGTTTTTTATTTAAAAGAAAAATGCCATGTTGTTATTTAAAACTGTGATATTTTATCAAGGTTGTACATGAGAATATTACAATGCTCGCCTATCAATGTATTCTTGAATCTTCATTGCTTTTGTATTTCCCTCCGAGTGCCACATTGTGATTATTGTTACGCCTTAATTATGAAACATGTCCCACTGGTATAATCAGCTACAGTATGTTTGAGTATCTTGTTTTGAATGGCTACGCTCTCTATTCCATCGACATAAAATTGAAATGAGATAAAGTTATTCTAGGTTTGTTTTACTTCAGCTTTCAGATATCATATATATTATTCAGACACGTGGAAATCAGAAATATGGTGTACATTTATCAACGTAATTAAGCATACAAGATGGAGATAGTGCAGATAGTGCAGATAGAAAACATATATATGTTGTGTTGTGAGATGTGTATATACATACAAGTTATACATTTATTCACGTTCCAGTATTGCATTGATAAATTATCTGACTACAAGACCATACACATATACACTGATTACATATATTTAGTATCACTATGAGATATACTACTAAAACTTGTACCAGTTTCAGATTAAAGGAATGACAAAAGTCGCAAAGGAAAATTAACAACCAAATTTGAACTCGTGTGTGGCGTGTTGACAGAAACATTTTATTATTATTTCATATACATTTTTTTGTACGTTCTATGCAAATTTGTCGCTTTCAAAAGTTCACAGGAAATAGATAATGTTATTCATCTCAAACCTTTTTATATTCAGATTGTATATTCTTTACTATTTGGAAAAAAATCCATCTCTAAATTTTGAATCATGTTTACATAGTTTGGTTATAGGTTGTAATTGCTTTCAAAACACTTTCTTAAGTTTACATCACAAAGAAATTCAGGCATAAAATAAAGAGAACTACCCTCTCAACGAATTGGGAACGTCGGAGATCTATTTTTGAAAAAAATGGTACTACTTTAGTTGCTTTTTAAAAACAAACGTATAATTCAAACATTTGAGTATTTATACTCTGATTTTGTACGGTAGTTTTCCATGCTAAGCTTCTGTACAGTACAGTCACCCAGGAAAACGGTACATATTATGTTCATACTTATTATGACAGACGTTGATTTCTTTATGTTTATTTCGTGCTCGTGATTATTCTCCAGATTCTAAATGTACAATCAATATTATATATTACAAGCTCTATTTCTGGGGAAAGGATTTTTAATTTTCAGGTTGTATGATATCAAAACACTTTTGCACATACCTTTGTCATAGCACTTGTTAAAGTTTTAATCAAAGCTTTTATATCAAATATTAAATTTTTATTAAAAAAAACAACATTATTGGAAATATATTTGTGTTTTCTTTAGACGACTAGGCGAGAGTATTAAAACCAGGCTTATCTAGTGGATAGTTATTGGATAGTCACATAGTATTCGTATAAATCTGAGTCCTGGAGTGAAGTGAATTTCACAGTATATTCCTCCGTATAATGTCTATTTAAATAAGCACTGTGTAGTAAGAAACCCTGTTTTTAACACAGAAATACTACTTATGTTTTTCAAAATGTCGTTGCTTATGTTTACTGTGGCACTAACCAATGCAGTTCATTCATAAAGAAACATGGTTTTACTTCAAATGTTCTACAGGTTTGCACCTATACGAAGTGTAAAGTTGTTCTCGATACCCGGCGAAAATATTATGTTGATTCGATTTCTTGACGAAGTGAAAAGGGGGAGAACTTATTTCCCATTATTTTCTCCGATTTCTGTTTGAAAATATTCTTGGAATATGTCCCTTAATCTGCATATCATTTCTTCAACAAGAACGTTTTGGACACACATATTCTTATTTTTTCATTTTTTAATGTTCAAAACGACATCATGTTTAAATAGCGTTTGGAATCATTCAATATTAGGGAGTAGGTCTCTATTTCATCAACATTTTATAACTTTTTCATCAGTGTTTGTGTTCAAGTGTTCTTATAAATAATTTAAAGTAGTGTGTTATTTTGAAGAAAAAATTGAAATATATTAAATAATAAAATCAAGCTTTGGTTGTTATTAATAACTGCCTAAATATGATATCACTGACAACATTGTTACTAAATTATCACCATGAAAATATAAATAAACAATATTTGACAAGCGATGATCATCAGATTGGTGTTTCCAACACCAGTCATTATTACTACACGATCACCACGGTCGCTTGGTTATGAAAAAAAATGCCGATTCGTCGAGAGGATTCCAAATATTGGAAATTCGCAATATCTGGCTTGAGGCTCTCCAAGACATCTCTTAATGCAATTAAAAACGTATATCATATCATATCATATCATTTGAGAAGACCTAGTATGTTTAAATTAATTCAATTACTCAAAGTCGAGAATACAAATGAACTTAATAATTATCATTAGCAAGTAAACGTAGTTTTAATGGCAGATCATGACTAGTACGGATGAAGTATTCTGTGTTTATGAATGTTAGTTTTGTTGCACAATGATGATGATGATGATGTATTTAGTGCGAGTGTCTTTATCCTTTTGTCCAACCTGTAATCGTGTATGCATTTGCCTGAAGTTGTAAAACTTAAGCAAATAATGAAAAGAAACGAAACGAAACGATGCTAGTTCTATTGTAAAATTTAAGGGAATATTTTGTATCGTTATTGACGGATTCGGACGTGGTGACAGATAGACAGTTTTGGGTCCTCCACCGCCCTTTTATCAATCTCTGCCGCTGATTATTAAACACATACATTGAACAAGAGTCTTTACGCCTTACTTATAGATCCATTGTGGCACTGAAATAGTGAACACTGTCGATCGATTACTCTTATTTCCTTTTAATTACTTTAATCTCTTAACTGGGTCTACAGTGCTTTCAGGGCTTCGTTACAAGATAACAACCAGTGATAAAGTATGAAATAAACTGTTCTGACACTTGTTCATTTGTTGTTTTCTTATCCATGTCACTTGAGAGATGTATGTCACTACTAGATAACTCTTGATTCATCATCAATTTAATGTTTCATAATACAAGGTATTGGGGTATACGGAAAGGGCGTTTCAGAAAGAAGAAGAATATAGCTCACCTTTAAAGTTTGTCAACATTGTCGTAATGCTGGAATAGAAAAAAATGAACAAAATTACTTCAAAATGGGATGAACGTGAATGGTTCAAAGTCGACGTATAACGCTCAGTTCACAAATGATAATGACCAATAACAGATGAACGAAAAACAAATTGTAAGCAAACTACAGTTTCACATGTCCAATTAAGATACACAGACGTTAGATAAACCCGCCCAATGTAATAAACCTTTCCAATAGGATACAAAAGTGCTTTAAGCAGATCTATATATAGATATACTTAGTGCAACATGTTTTACCTGTCCAAAGGGATACAAGGAGTTTTTATTCTTTTCTGTAGGATAGATAAACTAGTTTACCTCTCCAGCAGATATACCGGTAATACACGGTCTAAGCTATTCATATTACTAGAATCTAGAAACGGTCCTAAACTTAACCAACATTCTATTTTACTTTTTATGTTATTAACATATTTATCCTTTGGTTGAACTGCACACTTTTTCTATACCTATTTAGTACATACCTCCAGTTATGGGGTGTTAAGGGGGAAGTTCATGGTGATCCCCCGTCCTTGCTTTCTTGACTATCAAATCACCACTCAGTGTCTCAAACGTAACACCATCCTCGATATCCAGGGGTTACTTTCATTTTCGCTCACTACACCTCTGGAATATGTCAAAATCGAAGGCTCAGTGTGCACAACCTTGTTGATGAGACAAGAAAACTAGGACGATCCTTTGATATACATCAAAAGAACCTTTCGATCACGTAACGGTACAAATTGACAGGCTTTGAAGTCGGGCGTCTCTCCTTTGTAATTTTCAAAAGACAGGTACCAGCCTAGCGATTGGTCAGGTGTTTTTTTTACCGGAGACCAATCAAACAGCTATCTTCGTGCCTTCAATTTTGCTATGGCATATTCCAGGGGTGCAGAGAGCATAAGTGAGCGTAACCCCTGGATATCGAGGATGATGTTTCTCAGGCAAGTGCCAAACATGTGATGAGATGTGTCACAATGGAGAGGGAAACACAACGATTCATATCAAAGATGGAGAGACACAGATACAGTAGGCTCTCGTTCTGATGCTTCCCTCAAGCTTCGCCCTTGGAGAATATGGTCTCCCACAAACAAAGGGTAATACATTTATGATGAATCAGTGGTTAGATAACAATAACCATGGGTTCGATGCTACTTACAGAGTTACTTATCTGTATGCGAATATCATATAATGACCTACTGTTAAACATGTTAAAACAGTGTCATCGTTCATATGTATCCCATATAAATTAATCAATAAAATTAAGAATTGTCTACCTAAACGGAAACATATATTTCATTCCTTTATCAAACCGGAAAATGCGACATAACAGACAATGAAAATGGCGTCGTAAAGACTAAACAAAAACAAAGAAAAGAACGGTGACGAAGATCCATACCAAAGACAAATTAAGAGGATCGTAACGTAAATATTAACCAAAGACAAAAAGGATGACGTCGTTGAAGACATTCCTTACAGACCCTTCCTTGTTTCTGGACTATCAAGTCTCCACTCAGCGTCTCGAGCGTAATGCAAGGTGAAGGGTTGTCAGAAAAGACACAATACTAAATTACAAATTATATAAAATTAGGCCTAAATCACATATTTTCTTATTTTCCAAGGTTGACTAAGTTGCACTCACTGTTCGTGTGATACAATGTATTAGTGATTGCTTCAACTCCAGCCTACCAAGGTTGAAAATGCCCACCCTACACAGACCAACACAAAACAGAGAGGGTGACGGCAATCGGGGTGTCATATACTGTAATCTAAGAATCTGCTGCCAGCTTATTGGTTAAACAAGCATATGACTGTTTCAGGTAACATGTCTGGAAAAAATAGTGTAGGTCGGTAGGCAAATAATAGTTTTGATTTTCTAAAAAGGTTTAAATTTCAAATAGCTGCAGAAAGTTTGGCTCAAATGCAACACGAAATGGCATGGCTAGATTATAAAATACTAGTAAATATATAACAGCATGACAAAAATAAATCTTTTAGAATTACTGAAATCAATAGTCAAATTATTATGAGATGAAAAATATATATACATAATCTCCATGAAATTAATTTGAATGTCTGCTGGGGGAAAAATCAAGAGAATATAAAAATTTGACTGAACTCTCTGATTGGATAAAATATCTTCTGTAGATCGGTTAGATCTAGCGATTATATGTTAGGACAATTACGTGTTTCCCGTTCCGTTTTCCGTCTACTCATTTAGTAAAGCTATACGTAGTGTGAGATCTAAATACTTGCATGATTTACATCAATACTTGCCTATTTCGACAGACATATGCCTGCAGGATTGCCATGGAATGGTTTGTCTGTAAACGCATCCACGATATACAGAGGAAGAATTGTCCCCAACGCTGACATTTTGTTTCAGTTTTATCCAATACACATGCTAGTTAAAAACAGTTTTCGACCCAATTACTGGTGAATAAATCCCGGAATCAATTAGTTTGTGATGTTTTCTAGAAAAGGTTTGCACATAAATAGTCTATCAACTAGTTACTAGTTTTATTATGTAAAGCACACATTTTTCGCATACACATTATTGTTATTCTTTTGTTAAGCTAGCTTTTAAATCAAGCCCAAAATCTGTTATGAACAAATATATGAGTCTACAATGTAAGGTTTGACACTATCTATTTATCATTCACCTACATTCATATAAGTTATTTTATTGTCAAATTTTACTCTTATTTTCAATTTCATTTTTGATTTTTTCCATTTCTCTTCGCATATTTATCGATCATTTCTTACTGCGAATACATTAACATCGGGATCAACTGTGCGTTTTACACAGATACATAACAGAACACAGTCACAATATTGATGTGTTTACTTCCTGGTTGTTGTGGGTGGTAAGTGTCGACCAAACGTACGTATACAATGATTCTGTTTATTTGTATGACAGTATCCGTACTGGCGTGCACACGTGCTGCTAACGACGTAGTGACACACCCTGCCATAAAAGCATTGCTTGTCGAATCGAATGTTTTTTCTCGATTCGCTAATGTGTACATCACAAGTAAGGTTGAAAACGATGCAAGGGAAAGCAAAACATCTTTGTTTTCAGTCCAGGTTCCTACGGAAGCTTTCATTACGGGTTTCTCTATGCAAAATGAAGGTAGGATCCTCCAAGGTGTGGTGAAAGAGAAAAAAGAAGCAGACGAAGCTTACGACGCTGCCCGTAAGGATGGGCAGACAGCTGGTAGGGTGTCGGAGGTCGCCCCACCCCCGGGACGCGCAATGAAAAATTTCGTCGTGTATATGAACGTGGCAGCAATGTCTGAAGCTACTTTCAAACTTTCATATCAAGAACTTGTCAAGAAGGTTTTGGGAAAATATACCCAAAAAATACACATAGAACCCAATCAAATTGTGAACAACATCACTGTCGTTGCCTCATATCATGAGCCCCAAGGTATTGAGATGTTTTCGTACGCTCTTCCAGATTCTGAAGTGTTTTCGTCAAGTTCGATTGCCTCACAAAATACGGTTGTACACAATTCCGAAACGAAGAGAGTGTTTGTTTACACTCCTTCGGTAGAGACCCAGCTAGGTGACGGGGGCTTCGGTTTAAAAGGTGACATAACACTGAGGTATACTTTGACTCCTCCGGTAACCAACGGAGGGACAATCATTGTCAACGATGGCGCGTTTGTCCACTATTTCTCACCGTCCGGTTTGTCGACTCTAAGCAAAACAATTGTATTTGTCATTGATGTTAGTGGTTCCATGAGAGGGGTCAAAATTAATCAAGTAAAGGTAGCAATGCACTCGATATTGGCAAGACTTAGAGAACATGATGCGTTTGACATAATTCTGTTCAGTGATTCTGTGCACCATTGGCAACCGTATCCAGTGTTGGCTACCAGTGAACGTATTTCCGCTGCCAAGACATTTGTTAATGGAATGGTAGCAACAGGGAGCACCAACATCAACGACGCGTTGTTGTCCGGAGTTCATGATCTCAACAACGCTTTGAGAAATCGGGGGAACCTTGTTGTGTTCCTCACGGATGGTGTTCAAACTGCGGGTGAAATGCGCGAAGACGTCTTACTCAAAAATGTACTACGAGCAAACCATGACGGTTTAGTGTCAATTTTCTGTCTTGGTTTTGGAACTAGAGTGAATTTTGAATTTCTGATAAAAATATCACTACAGAATTATGGAACTGCGTATAAGATATACGAGGATGAAGATGCGAGTGAACAACTTGATGACTTTTTTAGAGGAATTGAATCTGTCACACTCAGGGATGTCAAGTTTCAATACCCCGTTGACATTGTAGTAAAAGAAGACCTAACCGAAACAAGCTTTTCCAATTTCTTCAACGGTTCTGAAATTGTCGTAGCTGGAACCCTTCAACCGGAAGTGGACATCCGCACTACTCCTTTCACTGCGTCAATCGTCGCTGTTGGTGCGAATAAAGACGTTATCTTCCATTCTACGGCCGAACTCGAGGGCACAGGAGAAACTGAACAGTTTACTCAGAGGCTTTGGGCTTACAAAAAAATAAAAGAATATTTGAATTTGGCCTTGATATCAAACAAAGAGGACAGAGAGAGATATGAACAAAAAGCACTTACATTGTCATTGAGATACAGCTTTGTGACGCGTCTGACGTCGATGGTTGTCACGGAGGCGGTCAATGCTGGAAACGATGAAAAGTGGTTAAAAGCCGAAAGTAAAATAATGATCGGACGCAGGATGAACACACTAGCAACGCGCAGAGCTTACAGCAGTCCAGCGGTGGATAGCGTAGTGTCTGTCTATCGAAACAAAGGCACGTGTGCGGCAGTGTCTATTGCATGTGTAGTGATCTCGTTTGTGTTATATTTCATTTGATATTACTTCTTTGAAAATCCTTTCTCACTTTTTTCGGGGTATCTCTTTCACTCGAACCATTCTGTTATGTTTTAGGGTATTGTTTAGTTAATCAGTTCTATTTTCCTATGAAATTTTGCAACAAGGATTAGAGGAAGTACCAGATTTGTTCATTTATTTTTAATTTCCGAATTCGCGAGGTTGACGGGCTGCAGTTTGTTTTGATAATATCTTAAAAAATAACATTTTTTTATTTCAATAATATTTAGTTACTTTATGTCATAAGTGCATCGATCAAAAAATTAAAATCAATCTTATTAAAATTAATATATCGTTTCTCTCATAACCATTATCCAAGCAAAGACGATAAATATTCCATCGTCTTGGGGAGAAAGATTTACGGGTGAGAAAACAAGCTTGTTTTATCTGATATTTTTCTTTTACTTTTATTATTTAAAATTTAAAATTATGTAAATGACTTCTTGCACAACTTTGAATATTTTTATTTTTTTTTAAAGCTACAAGTTGTAAAATGTTCCTTGTTCAACCTTATGCACTAATTTTATCACAATGTTAGAAAAATATGTCATTCGCTTGATGCATATGTACTTGGAAGTTGAGGCCATTCGCCTATTTCTGGGATTTATGTACTTTTTTCTGCATTCCATTTATAAATTTTGTCTGAAGGACTCCTTTTTTCTTATATTTGTGAAACTTGGTAGATATGATTGGTACGTTTTTTTAATGTAGACATGGGAATATTTATAGCCTATAGCTTTAGTTAAATTTATGAACGAAATCTGTAAATATTTTTGAATAAATCTGCCTTATGTTTTGATACCCTTCGTTCTCTGGCATTCTTTTTCCAGATTTTGAAAAATTATTATTGAAACAAAAAAAAGATTTTTTCTAATTACCAGCCTATTTAGAACTTATTAGGCGGTGATATGATGTCGTCTTTGACAAGGGACGTAACTCCTATATATCTATCCCACCTTTTTACGAGATTATGTGCTTGATACGTGTGTGTGGTATTTTTATCATATTTTTTTTAATCCTGTATTTTATGATTTATTATGAGTTATGATATGATATTGATCTTTTTCTGAACCAATTTATTGTTATTGTTGTTGTAACTGTTGTTAATGTAGTTGTTGTTGAGGGGAGAAGGGAAAACGAAATGTTCATTCAGGCCCCTGTGTTAGTTTAGTTTAAACATATTTTATTGACATATAATATGACAATAGGATTAGTCAGTAAGTTTTTCCAACTTATAGATGACTTCTCCAAATAACATATATAACATATTTACAATTGAAGTCACGTGATGGCATGAAAGATAATAAACATAAACAAACAAACATATCACAGTGAAATCGAGGATTCGGGGGAAAGGGGGGGGGGGTGAAAGAGAGTGGGAGAGAGAAGGGGTGGGGGGATATAGATAGAGAACCTACCTAGAAAATTTTGTACTGATTTGGCAATTATGTTATCGTCTGATGAGGAAACACTAGCGTCAACATTACAGAGTAAGTTAACATCAATAACACCATCATACCCCTATGTTGCTTATGGAATCAGCAGAATTTGTTCTATGTCTGGAAAGCAGAAGAACAGAAGGTAATACTCGATTCCTGAAGTGCATGCAGTGGGCCAGAATATTTTTACCTGCAATGGGGGTGGGGTTGACTGTTGATGGCACAAAATAAGAAAGTATCTGTGTTATTAATTTTTTACGATGTGCCAACTGTAATTTCTTGCTTTGTCATTGAAAATGTATATTTTGTAACTATATGTAACTATACTGATGTTTTTAAACATTGAATGTTGTTGTTATTAATCCGTTAAAAGTATATATGTGATATACATTTTAAATCATTGTTGTTTATATTTAAATCGACAAAGCGTTGGTGATACATTGCAGGTGGGCGTGGTGCAGTTGGATGTGGTTGTTGGGCTTTGTGCAGTAAGATGTGGTTGGAGGGCGTGGTGCTGTAAGATGTGGTTGGTGGTCGTGGTGCAGTAAGATGTGGTTGGAGGGCGTGGTGCAGTAAGATGTGGTTGGTGGGCGCAGTGCAGTAATATGTGGTTGGTGGGCGTGGTGCAGTAAGATGTGGTTGGGGGGCGTGGGGCAGTAAGATGTGGTTGGGGGGCTTAGGGGCAGTAAGATGTGGTTGACGGGCGTGTTGCAGTAAGATGTGGTTGGTGGGCGTGGTGCAGTAAGATGTGGTTGGTGGGCTTAGGTGCAGTAAGATGTGGTTGACGGGCGTGTTGCAGTAAGATGTGGTTGGTGGGCGTTGTGCAATAAGATGTGGTTGGTGGGCGTGGTGCAGTAAGATGTGTGTTGGTGGGCGTGGTGCAGTAAGATGTGTGTTGGTGGGCTTGGTGCTGTAAGATGTTGTTAGAGGGCGTGTTGCAGGAAGATGTGGTTGGAGGGCGTGGTACAGTAAGATGTGGTTGGAGGGCGTGGTCGGGTGCGATGCGAAACAGTCCGTTGTGTTTCTGCATTCTATTTACACACAAAAAAAGAGTTTTCATGTTTCCCAAAATGTGTGTGAACAATAATTGTTGATTAAACCACAGCAGTGGACAATCTGTTAACATTGACATACGCAATCAACTAGAGGCATTTGAGTTAAGGTTACGCTATATATAGACACCGGTGAGATTATGGACCGTTTTGTAATTATTATTTTCTATTATATTAACTCGAGTGCCTGTTAGTCGATATGCTATTGAATATTTAGGCAAGAAATCCGGAAAGTCACTGTGTTAAAATTTTCCGTTTTCATTAGTACAGTAATTTTTTTCTTTTTTTTTTCTTTTTTTTATACGTATGATATCTTATTAAAATTTATTTAATAAATGCTTTAGTTTAACATAAATCCATGTATGTATGTACGTACTTTTATTGTACTGTTTTTTTCCGTCTGAGTGCCATATAGTAATTATTTTTTCAAACCTAGCCCACTGAAATTAATTAATTATTTCATTGTTTAATTGGATTGTTCTATTTAGCTAGCCTTTCATTCCATGACATTTTAAACTACATCTTAATTGACATGAGATAGAATTATTCCAGTTACACCTTACTTATGCGTTTGTTTTCCAATTGTGAGCTCCTGAACATTGTTACTTAGTTTAAACATATTGTATTGCTTCTAAATTCAAGCAAGAGGATTGGGCACAAGTTATCACAACTTATAAAAGCCCCCTCCTCAACAATATACTACACGAATTTGGAAATCATAAAAAGGAAAGAAGAAACAGGTTAAAAGCGCAGGGAAATCACAAGGATATCGTATAGCATTTTTTATCATATACAACAATATAATGTATAGTAATATATAATATGTCTGCCTGCCATATACTAGCTACACACTCCGGCTACTTCCTCTGTTCAAATTGTCCATGTAAATGCTCATTTCTAAAACTCTTGCTCTGTTTATTGGAGAACATTGAACATCAAAACAATTAAATTCTGTATGTTCATTTCGAGATTCATTAAAACAAATGTCTATTTTACCAGATGCATAAAGTGCGATCAGTATTACTTATTATATACGATGACATAGAGAAAAAGGCTTTCCGTAGGCAGATAGCATATTAGCACATCGATTTTAATGATACATAATTAAGTGTGTTATATAAAACAGCACTGTCGCTACATGATTTAAGATATCCCTGGGATTTGTCATAATACGTGTGTAAATTTTGGTTGAATTGTTAACATTGATTGATTAGGCTGTACAAAAGGTCCAAACATAACCTTGGCGGTTGAACATTCATCATAATTACTCAGAAAATATTAATTATATTTTCACGAGGCATTCAAAATCATGCCATTTCGTTCCATAAAAACTTATAACTCTCTTATTTCGATAGCCTAATTCCCTCAAAATTGAAGAAAGAAAAAAAGAAAAAAAAAAAATATTTTTTATTTTTCTTTATCAACACTATTTGTTTTTTCATCAAACGATACAGCGAGACAAGTAATGGAACCACGTATGGTTTCTGAAAACACTTCGTATAGTCTCATAGTATTCGTCAAAATAGAGTCTTTGAGACAGGCGGAAGTAGAGCCATTGAACATAATTCTATGTAAATTAGACCTATGTAAAATATTAGTCTGGTAGAAAATGAAAATGATGTGGAAGACATATTTATTGAAAATGTATTTGAAGTACTATAATTATTTTCAGATTTTATTCTGATTTACGTTTTGTATTTCGATTTTGCAAAATGTCACTGATTTCAGCATCTTTATTAACTGTGGCGAAGACACAAGGCAGTTTAAAAAAAAATAGTGTTACTGATATTTACTCCGTAAGCTAAACTTTCATCGATAAGAGAGGTCGGTCTCAAAATTCATATGTTTAAGCTACCCAACGAAAGCAGCGTATACCATTGATATTCAGCTTCTTGGCGATATAGAAAATAAGTTAAATCCAGTTTTGCTTGATAACTATATAATTATTCGAAAGTGTTGTACCGTCTCTTATTTCTTGTATTTTTATGGATTATGTCCCTTCCACTGCTGATCTTTCTTGCAAAATGCATGCTTTGAAAAATAAAACAATTTGTAAAATTGACGATGTCTTTATCATTTGTATTTTATTAAATACGTGACAGAAAAATGAACGGGTCTTCGATTTGGTGTGTTCAAGGAGGAGAGAAGAAATGCGTTGCTGTACTTTTTGGTTAACGCACATACTGACGGATAAACCATCGAAAACCAAAACTCTCCACGATAGACAGTGTAAGAGTTGTGTCCCTTGCCCCATTTGCTCTGTTGGTGTGAGAGAAACTTCTTCCTCTAAAAAGACGAACAAATAAAAAAAAGTTTGTAATTAAATATAATTATTTAGGAACCGTTTCTCGCATTTTTAATGGTCCGAAGTTACTACTTATTTCACCCTGGCTAAATGCTTGTCGCTTTTCTTACCAATTCGGCTTGGGAGAATTTCTCTTTGCCTGTTTCTCACAACTCTTTGATTACAACAGTGATAATGACCTGTTAGGGTCTGATGGCCACCCCGATAGTGGCACGACTCCCTTGGGACTCAACAATCACCTGTGATATACTATTGTGTTTGTCCTGAGATCAACCCTTTCTCGTCTAGAGGTTCCTTAACCAGAAATCAGTGGACTAGAATAAACATATTTGACGAATATTTTTTTTTTGGGGGGGGGGGGATTGACATTGCTTGAAAATGTTGGTATGCTTGTCCGACGCTCCAGGTGTTTGAATCCATTAAAATGTGCATTGTAACTGACTGAATATTACTTTAATGTAATTTGCATTATTTTAATTCTTATTTTAATTCTACCGAAAGAACTAAAGAGAAATTCTCCCAAGCCGAATTGGTAAGAAAAGAGACAAGCATTTAGCCAGGGTGAAATAAGTAGTAACTTCGGACCATTAAAAATGCGAGAAACGGTTCCTAAATAATTATATTTAATTACAAACATTTTTTTATTTGTTCGTCTTTTTAGAGGAAGAAGTTTCTTTATATCGGGCCAAGATGAATGAGTTTCCTTCCATTATATAATTCCGTACAAACAACAATTTGAAAATGTCTGCCTGAGAGTGGGAAACGCTGTTGATAATATTACATGTCTCATATTGTCGTTATCTTGTCTCGAGAGATACAAAACGTCCAGGTGAGAGAGATACGGCAATCTAAAGAGTGTACCACCTGGGCGGGCTAGTTCAAGATAACACTCACTGAAGGGTTATGTAGGGCACTTTCTAGCACCAGTCAGGTAGACATAATCGTCCTTATAAAATTATTTCTTTTAAAACCCTACCCCAGGCGCTACTGAAAGTCCTATTGCAAAGGCGAGAAAAATAGCACTTAGGTTTTTGTGCAAGCGCGGTGCACTGTAAATAATCAGTAT